CCAATGCTCAGACGTGCATAGGGGACATTCTTGTACTCTTCACGAAACTGTTGTACTAGCTAGCTTGTCGACTGCAAAAAAATATAATGTAAGACCAGTAGGTTAGTACACCCACGGTAGCCTTTTGAAAAAAATACGCTGTTTATGCAGGCAGCGCCCACATATCTAACCTGACAGATTGTAAGCCTTCCACTTTGCCACAAAGGTCCTGTCGGTAGCCTCCTTTTCTGGAGGTATTTTGTCGTCAAAGATACGAGGGGAGACCTCGATGGCCTCGGCAACCTAATTTATTTAGCGTCTATTCAAGTCCCTGTCTTGCAGCCAAGTCAAGTTCGTGGAACCAATCTGGCCTTTCGGAGGATTTCTGATTGCCAGCCAAGTTGCTGTTATATCCAAACCCATCAATAGCTGGACGGCACTTCAAACATCCATACCTTCCTACCTGGCTGATGTCGGTCAATGATCTCGAAAAGGCTACTCTGTGACCGTCTACTGTACTATACTTCGGAACACTAGGGCGAAACCAAACTCCCCATGTGAGTGCACATCACTTTCGTGAGACTTTTAGGGTTCGTGCTCGCAGTTGACCAACAACGTTGCGCCAGAACCATTATTCAATGAGCAATTAAACTGCGGATTCAAACGTCAGGCCTTTGTAACCCGAAATGCGCAGTTTTTTTCTGTTATCCACTCTTCATTTGATTTTGTCTCACTGTTGTAAACGCTGGGGCCGCCTTTCACTAGTGCTGTGTGTACAAAAACAGCCCAATCTTGCTCCCTTTGACTGTATGGTGCAGCATTAACGTACCTTTGGCATGACCCTCAAAATTCTCTCTTCTATTTTCTCCTAGTGGCTGAAATCGCTGTCCGCTATCAACAGGCCGGCCCGGATGGACGTGCTCAAATGGAAGCTCAGTACGGCAAGGCTAACCTGGATGAGCTACTCAAAAATCACGAGACCAATGAATTCATAAAGAAGAACTGCAAGCGCTGCCCTAACTGCAAACTCGTCATTCAGGTTGGTCGGTACCAAGTTTTATGTCCTATTGCCCTGCCCTTTTGCATTACTTTGCTCAACATTTATCCTTTGTAAGAAAATGTATTGATCAGTGGCCTGGGCTGCGGTTCGATGGCCTCATTTTTAAATATCGTGACAGCTACCATTTTCCCCCACCAGGGACGTTTCACCTGTAGACTTTGGACTTTGCTTGACTAGTTTTCGCCGTGTATCTTGCATCGCGAAGTGCGAGGGGTTCCAAGAACTACATTAGGCTGCAAAAAAGTCCTACTTTTCCTCATCAACATCATCAGCATCAACATCACCATTCTCCTTATGCAGCAAAGTCACGCCAGGATACCCGCTTTCTGCTAGGATTTGTTCCAGCCGCCTACAAGGAGTACACTGCTTTCGACTGACTGCATAGCTATACATTTTGTAATTGACTTTCAACTAAAGTTGGGATAATTCCAAAAGGTAAATTGACGAGCATACGTTTGCTTACGACAAATTAACTTCGGGCCACACGTTTATATCGTGATTAACTAAGTAAAATATGTTAGTTATTAAAATATTTTGCAGTTGTCATAGTCAGAGCGGGGGCGCACAAGTTAGGTCGGCAAACTGATCATTTTATCATCGAATAGATGCCGGAGAGGCTTTCCCAGTGATCTAAAAGAGACTCTCCTGCTGCTAAAAACCGGTTGGAAAGCGATTAACTCGGCAACTAAACTATCCACATCCAGGGCGGTGTATTCGATACCCGTTGACGGTTGAAAACAATTAAGTGAACTTTAACGCACAAAGAAACATACATCGATGATCCACATACTCATCACTCCTCTCATCATCCTTATTATCATCATATTTGCTACAAAAGAAAGGGCCGGTGGCTCAATGACAAAGTATCTGACTCCATGAATCAAAGTTAGTAGGACCAAATATCGGATGACGTACACCTGGGATTGGGTATGACGGGCTCATGACGGCTTACAAGTCAGGAATGCCCATTTCAGTCTGTCTTGTCTTTGTCGGTTTCACCTTATCACCGTTTATATGTCAGTGAGTCTCGCGCCTAAGCGATTGTCAGTAAACACAATTCGCAATTTCTGACACTTCAGTCATATCCACACTCTGAAGTTTTTTATGTGTACGTTGTGTCCATAATAGTGATCGTCTGCTGATTAGATATGGAATGTTACATTTTTGATTCGTCAGTGCCCCGGACAATAAGCCACTACGTGTGCTGACTAAGGGTAATTGCATGACACGGTCTATAGATTTCAACACCGGGGCCACCGTGCTGCTCTGCGTTTCACAACCAGTCCGGAGCAGGGTTGTTTAATTGCATCACTC